CGGAAAAAAAAAAAAAAAAAAAAAAAAAGATAAGCTTGCAAGCATGGACAGACATCCCACAAACATAGTGCAATGTGTTATAGTCATGCTTGTCTAAGGTGTGCTGTCTATGGTCGCGTGTTGGATGTCTCAATCATGCTTGTCTAGGACATGTTACCCATGGTCGCATGCCCATACCAAACTCTTTTATTTGCTTTCATATTAGTAAGTTTTATTATCCTCATTATGTCAATACGAGTGTACATGAATGTTTGCCAAAATCATGTCTACACCTGTCAGGGCTATAATGTCTCAAAATGTACTATACATGGATGTGACTGGATGTTAATTCTTCCTTCCATAGTTACACACTATCAAAGTTGTAGCGGTTGTTAATTCGCTTTTAGCCTGTGACATTGATTTTGTTTTTTAAAATTGTTTTCAACTCATTTTGTCACTCACAATTTTTTAAAAATATTTTCTCTCAAACGTGATTCAAGACTCAATCATAAATCAAGGTTGTTCTCTAAGTTCAATTTTCATACAATTGACTTGTTCATTGGGCAAGAACAAAAGTGTGATTGTGATAAGTGATATTAGAATTGAGTTGGCTCCTTAAATCTTAGTAAACGAATATGTTTGTTGCAAAACAACTAGGAAAGTCCCAGGCTAACCAATTGGTAGAGATCAAAGATTGGTTGCTTTACCTGAGTGATGTTCTTGATGGCATGGGACTTTTGAAATCTCGCATGAACTCGGTTGCAATTAAAGCCTATCGGATCGATGAAATGGTAGGCCACATTGAGGCAATGCCCATACATGAATTAATGTCGAGGATCAAGACCCTAAAAGACAATTTCCAACATGAGATTGTTCAAATGGTCTCATAAATATTTGAGAATTTGGAGTGGCGAGAGCTGAAGTGACGGATTTGAGCGCCAGTCTAAGCCTCACCATGAGAGTGGTGGGAAACCAAACTCAAGCCGGATGCAATCCAATATAATAAGGTAAAGGTTCTTAAGCCTAAACCCTTATGTGGGACTCGAGACGCTAAAGTTCTAAAAAACTTTATCTTTGACCTTGAATAGTACTTAACCACAAATTTCGTGGCAAAAGAAGCAAGGGTCACACTGGCCACAATGCATCTAGTCGACAACAAAAAGTTGTGGTGGACATACAAGTACATCGACATTCAAGATGGTTGATGTATTGTGGACACTTACGAGAGCTTAAAACAAGAACTTTGTTCACAATTCTTTACATAGAATGTTGAGATAATAGCAATAAGGAAGTTAAGGGAGCTGATACATACTGGGAATATCCAAGACTTCGTTAAGCAGTTTTTTAAAATTATATTGGATATTCGTGATAGTGTCCAAAAAATTAAAGGTCTTCAATTTAGTCGAGGAGCTGAAGTCGTGAACGAAGACCAAACTCCACAAACAAATAGTGCCAGACCTTTCTATGGTCTACGCTACACCCAAACAGTTGTTTAACCTTGGTAGCAACAATCAATTCCAAGATTTATGGTGAAATTAGGCTTCTGCAGTAGAAATTATCAAGTGGGGAGGTGAAACTTGAAGTTGGAGGAGGGGACTATGAATCTTCCCAATAAAGAGGTAAAACTCTATGGTCGAGACCTCACAACTAAAACAGTTACCGTCAAGGACCCTCATCTTTGCTTCATATGTAAGGGACCCATCGAGAATTTGAATGACCACAAAAAATGGCTCTATGCCTTCCAAGCAAAATTTGGAACAAATTCAGTAAAGTTGTGTGAGACGGTGCAAGTTGAAACACGGTCGAAAACATTGAAAACTCCCGTATTGGGCACTAAAGTATTTCCCTACTCTTCAGAAGTGAGTGGTAGAGATAGAAGAGCTAGTGAACATGATCTTATGTATGTCTGAGTCCTGAGTTAAACATAGAGCAGCCAAGAACACTATTGTTGATTTTGGAGCTGCCCACAACTTCATGATGGAGACCAAAGTGAAATGCTTGAACATCCTATGGTATCGAGACACGAGAAGGATGAAAGCCATCAATTCGGCAGCTCTACCCATCTCAAGAGTTACAAAGAGAACTCCAATCAAGTTGAGGACTTGGACCGGACAAACTTACTCTGTGATTTATATTTTTATCTTAAATAGCTATTAAAGCTTGGGTCCGAACTCTCTGATTATTAATCTATTCGCTTTCACAGACACTACTTTTGGGATAGTCTTAACCTAGTACTCCTAAATTCAAATCTAGCTTGCGAGGGCAGTATGAATATCATCTTCTGTTGAAAATAATACATATTAGTAAAACTTTTGACCTCCAATCCTTCTCCAAAATAAACATCAAATATATCATGTTTAAGACTATCCTGGTCACATCTAACCACTAAATTCACATCAATACTTCGATTCGGTTTTACAAAGCAGCGACATAGAAGTGGCAACCAATTAGTCAAGTGATGGTTGAGACAAGACAAGTGTCATATCGTTGGTGATGAATCGGTTTATAATTCAAAGACATTGTATCAGAAGATGGTACCATTTATAATTCAAAGACATTGTATCAGAAGATGATACCATTTCAATTGCATGTAAGAAAGATTGTGATATGTATTTTGAGAAAATAAAATGTGCATAAACCTGACATGTTAACAAAATGGGTTAATATTGAGAAATGTTCGAGAAATTGAGATTTTGCAAAGTGTTGGTCTTTTGCAGCTCTCACAGATGTTGCAGTGCAGTGAAGATATCAATGATGGGAAGAATCTTTTATGAATGAGTGAAGATATCAATGATGGGAAGAAACTTTTATGAATGATTGGTTGTCTCCAAGTGAGAGAATTCTTAAGTTGTCCACGTATATTTCTCTCATCTTCTCTTTTGTTCTTAATGTTCTTGTTGAGTCGTGTAATCCTAGCACCAAAACTGGAGATATCAATTGATCAACATAGGCTAGCTCCTTGTAATAATATAAACACTCGTGTATATATATATATGCATTTGGAGGACAAAGCAAAGGGTGGAACACAATTTGTTAAATTAGATGAAAGGAATGTAAGATGAAATGCACATTGAACTGGTGTTAGTGAACAACGACCAACACATAAAAAAAGAAAGATAACAAAAACTGCAAACCCTTATCTTACAAGAACTAGACAACAATTATTACTGTTTAATCTATAAACTTCCCATAAAAACTTATCATTCTTTATTTATCCACTAACGTATATTTTCATTCCTGCAAATGCAAATAGCAATTTCAACTCAGGTTTAATAAGTTCTTAAACTTTAAAAGTTATCAAAATGTCTAATTAGACACTTCAAAAAGGTCAAGAATCTATTATACACATTATCAACGCTCTAAACTATAGTTTTATAAAATTCAGATGCTAGATTACTATCAATTGTAGTTCAACTTTATGGTCCATCTCAATCTTTGTCCAAGGAGGTTGACAAATAGTTTAAAATAAAGCTGTCAAGATCTCCCTCAAGAACCGAGTCAGGATCCGAAACCTCGTAATTGGTACGAAGATCTTTTACCATTTGATAAGGCTGAAAAAATCAAGCAATTGGTATTTAGTAATCACTGAATAATAATTCATAAACAAAACACTAGAGGTAAAATCAAATTGCACCATGCTAAAAATAACTCACATGGAGCACATAACTACGGATTTGGTTTCCCCAAGTGATATCAGATAAACTCTGTGTGTGCTGTGCATTCATCTGAGCTTGTCGTGCCATCTCAAGCTGATTTAATCGAGACTGAAGTACCGCCATAGCTGAGGCCTTGTTTTGATGTTGCGATCTGTGTTATTTCCCATTCCAATAAGCAATTATCCAAGAGTAGTTTTATTCATCATGTGAACCAGTTTTAATCTTTCTTACCTTTCATTTTGACAAGTTGCTGTAATCCCTGTGGGTATATGGACTATCCTCACGGCACTATCAGTGGTGTTAACACTCTGACCACCAGCTCCTCCAGATCGGAAACGCTCAATTCGAAGATCTGCTTCATTGATTTGTACATGAGTCGAAGCATCACCTGAGATTGGAATGACAGCTACAGCAGCAAATGAAGTATGTCGTCGCTTGTTACTGTCAAACGGAGAGATGCGAACCAATCTGTGAACGCCCACTTCCGCTTTAGCATATCCAAAAGCATATTCCCCGTCTAATTTTATCGTCGCTCGCTGGAATAACAGAATAATTTGTCAAAGCTAATGGTTTATAACTCAAGCCAGAGCTTGAATCTGTTCTGGCTAACATGTGATTAATAGACCTAAGATATAAGAATCTTTAACTGTTAAAACATTATATTAGCTACCAGGAACATTTTTGTAAGATGTCACAATGAAGAAATGGACAAATGAAGTTAGCAGAGAGTGAACCTTGATTCCTGCAATCTCACCCGGCATTTCTTCCATAACAGTAACCTTGAAACCGTGCCGTTGAGCCCACATTATGTACATCTGCATGACCATTGCTGCCCAGTCCATGCTCTCAGTACCGCCAGCTCCAGCTTGTACCTGTTCGATCAACAAATATTCAAAAGGTTGCTGCCTGCACCTCTATATTTATGTGAAATAACAAGAGAGAATCTTTTCTGTATATTATTATGAGAAGAACGGTTCCAAAATAGAAGAAACACTCATTTAAAATAAGGAAATAATATTCCAGAAATATAATACTACAAATACTGATTAACTAAAAACGAAAATAACCAGCACTCCCCCTCAAGCTGGTTTGAAGATATCTTCCATTGCCAGCTTGTCGATCATCTTATCAAATTGTAACTTTGGGAGCCCCTTTGTAAGTGCATCACCAATTTGCTCTGTCATAATAAGGTACGGAACGGCATATTACTCATGCATCAATCTTCTCCTCCTTTATAAAAGGTTTATCAACCTCGATATGTTTTGTCCTATCATGAAAGATGGGATTACAGGCAATGTAAATTTCTGCCATGTTGTCAGAATAAATATGCTTTGGTGTCTTTCATGAGAATTTCAATTCTTCCAATAGTCTTTTTATCCATATACCCTCACAAATTCCATGGACTGAGGCCCTAAACTAAAGTTTAATACTACTTTTGGCTACTACATTTTATTTTTTGCTTTGCCAGATAACTAGATTCCCTACAACAAAAGAGCAGCGTAACCTGAATAGATTTTCATGTGTTGTTTGCCGAGTCAGCATCATTGTAAACTTCAATATGCAAATAGTATGCTTCTTAAGCAGTATACATTTTCCTAGAGTACCTTTGAAGTATCTTAGGATTATATCATTGCTTCAAAATGAGTTGGTCTGGGAGCATTCATAAATCGACTTACCATGCTAACTACTAAAGCAATGTAAGTTAGTGTGTGAGACAAGTAAATGATCCTTCTCATAAGTTGTTGATATTTTTCTATCTATGGGAGTTTATGTTGTTTTGCATCCAAGTAACCTTGTTTCTTCAAGTAAATCAATGATATACTTCCCTTGATTGACAAGAATTTCATCTTCGACCTACAAAATACTTCGAGACTCCTAAGTCTTTGATTTGGAGTTCATTAGCCAGTGTTTCCCTCAAGGTTCAATCATGCCTTGTTATTCTCTGTAAGAATAATGTCATCAACATATACTATTAAAATAGAAATCTTGTCATTTTAGTACGTTTATAAAAAATAGTATGATCTGCTTGACTTCGAAGAAATCTATAGCTCGTGACTGCTTTTCCAATATGTTCTAACTACGTGCTATAGGAGACTGTTTAAGGTTGTATAGAGATATATTTAACCTACAGACTTTGTTAATCTTCATTGACAGCAATAGATAACAGAACTCTATTGAAGTTAATTTTGGCAGCAGGAGCAAACGTTTTTTGATAATCAATTCCATAGGTCTGAGTAAGGCCTTTAGCAACAAGTTGGGCCTTAGAGTCATAGGTAGAAGCTCTATATGACTATTGCACAACCTATAGTACGAAAGTTAGTTTGCTATAGAATATTTGGTACAATCTTGGGTACCTTTCCTATGGGCTATTGGAATATCAAGACCAAGTATATTAGATTAAAAAAAATCTAGGGAAAGATGAAGAAATGGGAATCCAGTACATGGGTCCTTAGAGTCATTCATTGGAGTACTTGGCATTAAAGAACTAGAAAGGTTAACCTTGAGGCTGTGATATTAGGAAGAGGAGAAGAATTACTGAACTTATATTCTAAGTTCAGTATCATTTCCCCTCGAAGAGAATTTTTTCCAAAAAATATTGAATTTCCAAAACAGGAGACATCCAAACTTTCAAAGTACGTTTTGGTCAAAGGGTCAAAACATTTATAAGCTTTATTGTGAGAGACATAATCTAAAAAGATGCATTCAACAGTTCGATAATCTAGTTTAGACCGAAAAAAATTAGGAAGGTGAACATCAGCAGTACATCCAAAAACTTTGATCGATAAGTCAGAAAACGAGAAGACAATGGGGGAAAAGGTCTTTAAGTGATCCAGGGGTTTTAAATTTCAAAATTTTTGTAGGCATTCAATTAATAAGGTATACAACCATGAGAATAGTTTCTCACCACAAAAAAAGAGGAACATGCATAGAGAACATAAGAACACAAGCGACTCGAGTAAAAGTCAATTATTTCATTCAGTAATAACCATTTGTTGGGGAATGTCTTGACGCGTAAATGGATGAAAATCCTCAAACTTGCAGAAATCAATCAAGTACGAATTGAAATATGCATCGTCATTATCAGAGTGCAGAATGCTAATTTTAGTTTGAAGCTAAGTTTCAATCATGATGCAAAAATACATAAAAAAAATCAATCACCCTAGACTTTTTTGTTAATAAATAAATCTAAGTTTAATAGGTGTGATCATCACTATGAGTCAAAACTTTAGAGGTCCTCAAATATCACTATGAGTTAAGTAAGAAGGTGAGGAAGCCTTGTAAGGCTTGGCAAAAAAATGTGGATCGGTGATTTATTTGCAGCGATACAACTTCCAAAATGAAAAACTGAACAATCAATTCCTTTAAACTAAATTTGGGAACAAATACTATGTATGAAAAACTGGGATATTTAAGTCTAGGATGCCAAAGCATTATAGTTTCTTTAACAGAAGTAGAACTAATGCTACTCAAGCTCTGAGCTCTTTTATGACTAGATGGAGATTCATCGAAGTAGTAGAGACCACCGAGTCTTCTAGCACACCTAAACATCTCCCACAAGTCCTGATCTTAAAAGATGTAATGGGAAGCAAAAAGGTAACACGACAACTACATCCTTAGAGATTTTACTCACAGATAACAAATTATAGGCTAATTTAGGAACATGAAAAATAGAATGTAAAGTAATGTGTGAGGTAATTTAATGGTTCCTTTTCCCACAATAAAAGTGAAACTACCTTCGACAATTCAAAATTTTCCATTACAATACAAGTTTGGAGGAAATAGTCATATGATCAAAAGTTCCAGAATCTTGAATCCCTCAAGATGAGTTGAGACAAGAGGGAATTTGAGGATAATAGCCTGTTTGTGCCAACGAAACACTAGAATTACCAGACGATAAAGTGGACTTTAACAGTTTCAAGATTTGAACAACTTGGTCTTTGTTGAAAGGGTTCAACAACATCAACACGAGATCGGCGTTCTTCTCACTTTGCTTATTACTCTTCCAATTTGCCGGTTTTCTGTGAAGTTTCCACCACATATTCAAGAGTATGCCAAGGTTTGTTACAGCAGTCACATCGACACGAGGCCTTCATGGGTCTTGTTTGATTGATTAGAAGACTTGTATGTGGTAGCTTTAACCACCAAAGCTGAACTTTCTATTGAATCAATGAGTTTCTTCCTAATCATAACATTCTGACGAAAGTTTCCAATGCACTTTATTGTAATAGTTGGGAGGTGAGTTTTACCAAGTATTCCGCCTCTAACCTCATCAAATTCAACATTGAGGTTGGCCAGAAATTTGTAAATATAACCATCCTCCATTATTTACGTGTGGTGTTTTTTATTCTCCATAAACTTCCATTAATACGTATCAAAGAGATCGAGGTCTTATCAAATCCTCTTTAGGGACTTTAGAGAGTGAAAATACTGTGCAATTGGGTTACCTCCGTCGTATGTCACCCAATTTGAGATTCAACTCAAATACTTGCGACTGATTTTCCAAATCTAAATGCATCTAAGTCACACTATCCCATAATTTGCTTGCAGTATAGTAACAATGGTTACAACTGATAACTTCTACCATGGAATTACCAAGCCAGGTCATAAACATGGAGTTTTAAGCATCCCACACAACAAATGAATGACCATCTTTGGCAGGCACTATTTTATCTCCAATAAGGTAGTCAATCTTCCCTTGTCTACAAATATACATTCGAACATTTGGGACCAATGAATAAAGTTATCTACATTAAGTGGAATGGATATAATTTGGATGGTAGGACTGTTGGAACGGATGCGATTTATTTGAGACTTGCAACTGAAAACTTATTTCCCAACATTATTGCTAAAATCAATAGGCTTCAAGGCTGGCCAAAAAATAGAAGCCAAGTCCACAGAAGAAAATAGGAAGAAAAAAATGAATGAGAGCCAAAAACTGAGACAAGTCAGCACGATACATAGGCTGAGAAATGGCAGTGGTGCAGATTACCAACAATGCAGACAGCAACGGTTGATGGTCACAGATTACGGCGGTCAGCATCAAACACAGCAGCGGCGGTCAGAGACCGCGAACTCGAGGTCTTGTGTGTGATGTGTAATGTGAGGTCGAGATGCCAAGGGTAGACAACTTTGTCAGTGGGCAGCACTAGGTAAACACAGACAATTGGCGGCACCGACAAAGATGTCAGCAGGGCAGCTTGGGTTAGGGTTTCTAAAAATTAGAATTTTCTGCTTTGATACCATATATGAAATATCAAGAGAGATGACATTTTCTGTACATTATTATGAGAAGAAAGGGGTTCTTAAATCAAAGAAATCCTCGTTTACAAATAAGGAAATAATGTTCCAGCAATATAATAAAATAAATATAGATAACCTAGAAAAAGAAACAGCCAACAATATTATTCACTGTTAACATTTTTCAAAACTTTAATCCGGCAATGAACAAAGTAATGCTACATATGAGAAAAATTCACACAAGAATCAAATATTAGCAGCACAAAGTTAAGCTAACCTCAATATAACAAGAGCAAGAATCGTTCTCCCCAGCTAACAAAGCTTCAAGCTCTTTCTCTTTTGAATTTCTTCTCATACTCAGTAGAGCATTTAGCGACTCCTGTAAAAGGCCGTGCATATTACAGGATTAAAAGAAAAGAAAAATCTGTCTACTCTCTAAAAAATTTGGTCTAAATTCAAATGAAGATATTTATCTCACCGAGAACAGATGACAGCTTCAGACATGCACGAAGTGTTTGGTAAAGGGAAAGGAATAATACGAAGCAATAATAACAGCAATCTCTGTCGAACCTAGAACTCTCAATAAATATAAACCAAAATGGAAAACTCTATATTTCCTACCAGTTTCTAGTAATCAGAGCAATGGTGTTTGCATTATTCTCATTATTCTCATGACGCACCCACTAATTCTCAAGGAGACTCAATCACTCCAATGTCAGCTCCAGGAGGCAACAAGATTTTAGGTTAATAAGTTTGAACCCAGAACTCTGATCACCAAACATCTCTGGTTCTTAAGGGCATATAAGATAAATCTTTCTCTCACTATAAAAGTATCAAGTTCAGGACATTTTTATTTACTCTGTTCTTGATTATGAAAAGACATTAACTACATAATTACATAAAATACTGAGAAGAATGGATGCACAAAACTCAAACACCTTCAAAAGAGGAAAAAAAAAAAAAAACAAACAAACAAAAAGAAAGAATTCATGCCTAGAAGACGAATTTAGAGCCCACCGATTCCAACTCTGCATCATTCTCTTCTCTGGCAAGCTTTATCATGTCGATGTGCTCAAGCAATTCTCTCTCAAATGCCTTCATCTCTTTAATCTTACCCATAATAGAACCATGCTCCCGACTTATCTTCCCTGCATGTGCAGGATCATCCCATAGATCAGCCTTATTCAACTCCACAGATAACAATTCCAATCTCATCATCAGCTTCTTCCACTGCCATCGCCAAAGATTCACAGCCATTACAAAATGATAATCAAAACTTTGAGGCCCGTTTCATAACCAACTTTCATTTTATGTTTTTGAAAATATAAATTATAAGCACTACTTCCCGCATTTTATTCCAACCCAAGTTCTGAAAGCTAAAAAAGTCATTTTATAACCATTCCAACTTCTTATAAACTAGAAGGTAAATGTTATGAAATGCAGTAAGCATTTAAAAAAAACATCAACCGACTGAAAAGCAGAAATAGTTGATAAATCCTGATTAGTAGATCAAGCAAAAACCTGTAAACGCTTCTTGATTAGATGAATGGATTGGGCAATTGCAGCAGCATGGCTCCTCCAATCGCTCTCGCTCTCCTCAAGAATCGTCCATCGATTTCCAATAATTCCTTCGACTGTAAGCCCATCGGCTGTTGAGGGCTCAATCGCAACCTGCGTTGAAAACAAGCGCAACGTGCTGAAGGGGAACCCAGAAATGTTCTTAAAATCAGAAACCCCACAATTGAAAAGGACATAATTTTGAGGCGTAGCTGATGAACATTGGAGCTCAGTGAATAACCGGCGCCTGGAGATTAATACCCCTCTGTGATTGGAATTGCGGAAGAGGGCATAGACTCGATTGCACAATCGTTTTCCGAGAGCAAAACTGGACATATTTCGATTTCAATTGAATTAAGAATCACAGATTTTCATAACGAACCGCCATGCCCCTCCCTCTTACTCTCCTGGGTTTAGGGTTTTGGCGCTCCAGATTCATTTTACTTTTTCATTAATTTTAAATTTAATGGTATTCATTCTCTTATTTAAGTTTTAATTTTTTTAAATAGTAAATTTTAATTTTCTCCTCAATATTTCCATACACATCTTTGAGTATATAGTCTGAGTTGAGTTGGGTCAGAGAGATTTTTTTGGTCCAACCCGAGATATCCAATCTAACAATTTTTACAATCCAACCCAACTCAACCCTCTATTTTTTTTTTTTTGGATGATTGAGTTATTAAAAAGAATTATTTATCCACCGTTTATAATTATTCGAATAATGTTTATTCAAAGTAAAAAAATATAAATAATGGGATTAGAAGTTAGATAATGTGGTTATTTGGTGTATCCATAGCTTATTTATTGGACCTAACTTTATTTTAATACGAAGTTGTTGGCCTAAACTCAAAATGTGTGTACGATTTTATCCACATCTTGCGTTGGCCTAATTCCCAACTCCCATCTCCCATCCCCCATTCACTTAACTACATATTCTCACAATTCTTAGTTTTCTCACAACTCCAATGGCTTCCCCACTTCCCGTCCTTCTCCTTCTCCCTCTCGCTGCCCTCGCCCTCTACTGCTCCTCAGGTCTTCCTCTCGTGCCGATTCGATTCGAATATGGTTAGTTCTCGCCCATATAATGATCCATTTGGTTGTTGTTGTTGTGACAGTTTGTGGTGAGGAGTTTGAAGGACAAGGGGTGACCCAGGGCTTCCAATGCTTTGACAACAACCTTGTGTGTTCTTATCTCTCTCTCTCTCTCTCTCTCTCTCTCCCCTTTGGTTTTGTTTTGTTTGATGCGTTTCACTTATGCACATTCCTTCACTCATTTGTATGCCATAATTTGTTATATAGATATACAATGGGTGTGAAAGTGCATATAGGTTGAACCCAAGTGGGAATTTGAATGTCCCTCTCCAGGCTACTAATTTGTTTTGCAATGGACCATGCCTCATTGAAACACAACTTCTACTTAACTGTCTCGATCATGCGTTCGATAACTTCTTGTTCTACAACAAAGCCACCGTGCTTGCCGTTCAAAACGCCCTTCGTGCTGGATGCAGCTACTCAACCCAAAGAGGTATATACGTGTACTCATATTTAGGAGTCCAACATTGACTAATTAAGTGGATGCTCATGAGTTTATAGGTAAGGAATATGTCTTTATTGGTATGAGGCCTTTTGGGGAACCCAAAGTATAGTCATGAGAGTTTATTCTCAAAGTAAACAATATCATATTATTGTGGAGAGTCGTAATTACTAACATAGAAGAGAGAAGACAACCTCTTCACTCAAACTAAATCTTTGAATTGAACTCAATAGTCAATTGGTTCAATTTTTAGTTCTTTAGAGCAATTGAGGATTGTGGGGGAGGAGTCCCACGTTTGCTAATTAAGGGAATGATCATGAATTTATAAGTAAGAAATACTTTTCATTGGTACGAGACATTTTGGGTCAACTAAAAATAAAGTCATGAGAGTTTATGTTCAAAGTGAACAATATCATACCATTGTGGAGACATATAGTTTCTAACATGTTGTATAACGTAAGTTGTTCATTGATGCAGGGAACTTCAATCCAGGATATTTCATGCAAGGCGAAATCAGCAAAGGCCACACCTTACAAAAATGGGTCACATTATATTATGTTCTTTTTCTTATTGGGTGTTGTTTCATATTATAAGCTATCACACTACCCTTCAACTTCGTTCAATTTCAATATTCGTTCATCAATCCTATGGTCAGATTTCATCTTCAAAACGTCATTATGATCTCAAATAATCAACATTATTTTATTTCAATTCAAAAGAATTTTTTGGCCTTATGTAAAAAACCCGTCGAGAAAAGCGACCAACAATATTGAATGAGTCAAAAATCCTGGTGAAATTTCTGAAAAATGCTCGTTTAGGTCTCGATCACGTAGTTGGAATATCGAGCCATAAGGAGAAAGAAAAGAACAAAACAAACTTAAATATATAGTAAAATCAAGTTTAGTGGCTACATTTGTGTGTTTGGAGGCTTCACCATCACAAATGGGTCACATGAAGAAACATAAAGTTTCAAGTTATGATCTTTCAACTTCTCTATGTACTCTTCTCTCTTCGCAAATTTAGACTTCACTTTGTCTTCTTTCTTCGCCGGCAAATCCATCTTTCGTTCCATTTTCTTGTTTCTAATGAGATTTCCTTCATTTTCTTTTTCTTTTTTATAGAGAGAGGTAAGAGATGGCTGTTCCTATTCTTTCATTTATGGTTTGCGTGAAGTTATAATTATTGGGGGATGGTTTCTATGCAAAAATAAATTGTATAAAATTTTGTATTAAATGAGCCTTAGATGTGGGTAATGATGTATAATCTTGTTTAATTTGATTAGGTCACCCTAGATTTCTACTTATCTAGATCGTTATTGAAATCTAGGGTCGTTATCGTCATCCTAATGTAATCATTTTGTGCGAAAGTAAGCGTTTGAACTTTATTAAAAAAAAAAAAAATCATAAACTTCATCTTAAAACAATGTCATAGACTTGCGTGCTCAAAAACATCTTTAAAACGACACAACCAAAAACTAAATAAAATAAATAACGTTAAAATTAAAAACACCTTATTCTAACCTAGGGTTAAGAAAATAAGTATAACTAGTCTATGCATGTGTCATTGTATCAGTCTATATTCCTTAGGCGACTATCCTAAACAGGCTAATTGGATGTGTATTTCCTGTTCTAGACAGTCCACACATGCGAGTATGGACCCACCAGTCGTTTCGCACACCTCTTGGACCCTGTCTTGTGAGGCGAGCCTTCTCTGATAATTGTTAATGTCGGACACCCGTTTAGGAATAGAGACCGTTGCAACATTAGGATAAACATAATGATCGTTTTTCTGCCTGGCTGTCGCAGAATTGTGATAACCATAATGATCATTTTTTCTACTTAGTAACGTACACGTCCATACCATCGTAGAAAAGGTATCCCCGATGCATGAACACACAATGATGCATGAAAAGATATGATATGATATCATTATCACAACTTTTCATGTAATTTTGAGGTTGTGTATCATGTTGAAACATCTTATTGCATGTTCATTCATATCATACATCTTATCATGTCATATTGATCATATCATAAGTATATTGTGTCTCCCAACATATCATGTCATATCATAAATGTATCATATCATAAAGCATATCACAATATGTGTCGTATTGTACCATAACATATCATAGTCATATTATTTTGTCAAATGCATCGTATCATAACATATATCATATCATATCATTCACATATCATATCTCAAACATATTGTCAAATTCATCACATCAAAACATATATTATATTATTCACATATCATATCATAACATATATTATATCATTCACACATCATATCTCAAAAATATAGTCAAACACATCACATAATAACATATATCATAAACATTTCACACATATCAAGCATATGGCATGTGTAGAACCACAGGGCACGATCTATCTTACAAAACAACTTTTAACCATGCCAATAGTAAGGTCAGTTACATGGTTTGTAACGGATCAAATAATAAAAATAAAAATAAAAATAAAAAATCATGCGGTTGTGGGCTAGACCCGAAAACTCCGTTCGCACATGACCCACGATCTCCACCCAGTGCCTGGATCACCACGAAACCAAACCCCCAGCCTTCAGCCATCATAGAGCACCTGCAAGAAAGAAAAATAGTGAGAAACGTGAAAGACCGAGAGAAACCGATGATGCTCCGATGAACGAAACCTAACAAAAAATCGACGTCGAAACCATCAAACTATGCCACGAAAACGTTTTCATAGACCTTTACAGACACCAGGGACAAATTTCGATGTTTCTTACACATCGTACATCGTCGGGGAAGGAAGACAGAACATCAGATTTTCGAGCCCTCTCATATCCGAGAGTTTTAGGACCTTACGAGCCAAACAAACACCATAAACGGGATTAGGGGAAAGAGGAGATTCGAAAATGGAAGAAAAAGGAGGGAAAAGGACGTCCAAATGACATTACTGAGGAGAGAGAGAGATCACCGGAAAATTTTGGATAATTGGGCAAAGAAGACGAAGTTTGACCTAGGTCCGAACCCGCAACCCAAAACGAGTCCAACTCGCTCCATTCCAAACCTTCGGCCGACGAAACCACCGTGGCCCAAATCAGAGAGCCCAATCTCGGCCTAAATCGTCATCCGTGACCCAAAACCGCAACCAAGAACTGATCCGAGAACCTATGACCGACCCACGAATCGAAGCTGAGGACCCAATCCACCCCGTTAGGATTATGTATGATATGTAGACTAAAAAATGAGAAACAATATATTATGCACGAAAAATGATAGCGAGGTTATATTTAATAATGTTGAAAACTGAAAAATGTTGGGAACTCATACATTATGTGTGCTCATGCATTGGGGGGATACCCCTATTCCATCACGAGGGTACGGACGCGTACATCCATTAGGTAGGCGAAGTATCATTCTGTTTTATATAATGCTGTTGTGACGGTTACTAATTCTAATGGGTGTCCGGCAAAAGTTGAGCGACATACGTGCTACAAAAAGATGCAGAAGTGTAGTGGACGGATAACAAAAAGAATATCAACCTACGAGAGGGGATCACGAGTGGGAGAACTTTAAGGAAGCATTCCTGAAATACTACTATCCAAAGGAAACCCGTATAAAAAAACAACAAGAATATAACCACCTGACCCAAAGTGAATGCACTATGGATCAGTATGATCAGGTATCCATGAGATTAAAGAGGTTTGCACCGTCACTAGTAGGCACTGAAGAAAAACAGACAGAGAAATTTGTGTTGGGGTTGAACTAGAAGGCCTGCCCGTATGTTGGAGGCGTTTAACCCGAAAACTTACGAAGAGGCATTAAGGACGGCCAAGGTCTTGGAGGAACCTCTAGAGGAGAAAAACTCGGAGCCAATGGTTGCCGTAGGAAAGAAATGCCCCGTCGAGGCCAGACCCACGGAATTCCAACTGCCACTCCAGAGACCTCGACATCATGATAGGCGACCTGCTCTGCCCCCAGTAGCCCGATACCTAATACCAGAAAAACCCTTGTGTCGTGAATGTGGGAAACAACATTGGGGCAGATGTATGGCAAACTCCAGGGTATGTTATAGGTGCGGTCGTACAGGTCACACGACCCAATTCTATATTGGAATGTGTAGAAATTAAAATTCACTCGGATACCAATTTGTTGAATAATAATCCGCTCCGATAAAATAGATGCTCGCTCTGAAACCAACTTATTTAAATAACTCTCACGAAGCTGTGAAGGAGGTGTCAAGAGGGGAGAGACAAGGGGACAAAAGAAATTTTAAAAAATTCTTTTCTATTACACTGTACACTTTGCTCTGTGTCTCTTGCTCTCTTTTTTCTCTTTTCTCTTGGTAGCACTAAGAAACAAAATCTATTTATAAGTTTTATAAAGTAAAAAATGGCCACTAGAATTACAAGTTTTCTACTCCCTAAAATAAATGTTTGGCTTTCACTGAATTTTAAAATCCACTTTTAACTTAAAAAAATTAAAAACTACCTCTTCCCCTTCTTTTTTCATTTAAGTTTATTCCCAACAAAACTCCTCCATGAACGGAAATGCTCTATTCAATGGTTCCACTTGCGCTATTTTCGTTTTCTCAAGCTCAGTCGTAGTTTCTTCAATTTTCTCTTATTGTCCTCGAGCGGCAAACTAAGGTTATCCTTCTCTGATGAGACTTCATTTGGATCTTCTCGAGAACGGCCCATCTGAGACACCAACTCTTCATTTTTCCCGTTCTCAGCCACGCTTGACTCAGATATCATGGCTTCGTTCAATTTACTCAATTCCCTTCGCAAGTCCACAGTGACATTTACCGCTAGCATTTTTGCTTCCTCCAGTTTGGCTTTATCACGAGTGAGTATCGACCATTCCAGTGGCTTCCACGACCTCTACCTTGAACATTTTGTGAATAGAGTACTTTTCCATCCTTGATTGATGTCTTTGTCTGAAGCGCTTGATCGAGTGTCTCCTCCTTTTTTTCTTACGTTGCTCGTGTGCCTCAAGAGAACCGAAAAGCTCATCGAATGTGAATTATACTAGATCCTTCGACTCTTCTATGGCACATACAACATTCTCAAAGTTGTCGGTTAACATTTCTCCATTTCGATTCAGCTGATTTTTCACGGTATATACACGTGTAATGTAGTCAGATACAATTTCTAACTCCTTTATCTTCATGCTCTTCAACTCGCCATGCAGAGTTGGAGATGCACCTGCTTGACTCGGTTGGTTCCTTTGAACACCTTTTCTAGAGTGTCCCACGCTTCTTTTGAAGTAATTGCCCTTGCAATCTTCTTAAAGCCCGACTCGTCAACAACACGGAACAACATGTATAATGCTGCCTTATCCTTTGATCGTGCTTCCTTTAGCGCCTTGTTTTGCGCCGCCGTATAACCCGTGGTATCATTCGGTTCTTCGAAACCTTCTTCGACCACCTCCCATGCTTCTTGCGAATCGAGAAGAGCTTTCATTTGGATGCTCCAATTCTCGTAGTTCGTCTTCGTCAATCGTGGTAGTGGCATTTGTCCCATCGGCTCTGATACCAATTGTAGAAATTAAAATTCGCTCTAATACTAATTTGTTGAAATAACAATCCGCTCCGATACTAACTTGTAGAAAAATAGACGCTCGTTCTGAAACCAACATGTTTAAATAACTCTCAC